CATGTCCAAAACCAGGAGAAATTTTAATTCTTAGTAGAAAAATGGCTCATTTAAGGCATTATTTTACTATACTTTTAAAACTGAGAAAATAGCTTCCTGTAGTTAATGATTACTGGACATTCTTGGTAACCCAGAAAAGGGCTCTAGGAGTGACAGGTTTACCATTAATTAAAAATTTAGAATAGAGGCAAAGGCACTTCAGCTTACAATGGTGGCTACATCCTAACCAAAAATCAGCGGTTCTCAACTTGTGGGTCCCAACTGCTTTGGGGTCAAATGACCCTTTCAAAGGGGTCACCTAAGACCACTGGAACACAGATATTTATTTACATTATGATTTATAATAGTAGCAAACTTACAGATATGAAGTAGCAACAAATAAGTTTATGGTTGGGGGCCACCACAACATGAGGAACTGTAGTAAAGGGTCACAGCATTAGGAAGGTTGAGAACCACATTTAAGCAACACACAGGTCAAGCATTCTGAGACACACTGGAGAGCACTGATGGCTGTCCCTTGTGATCATATGACCCACTAGAAACTTTGACTTGCTACTGTCATCCAGTATTGTGAAAGATGATCATATTGCTTACCTGTAGTGAAATAAAAGACCAAACCTTGGTGTCCTAAGTTAGTTTTCTACTAAATAGCTATATATTTTGTTCATACAATCACAACATTAAAAAATAGTAAGTTGAGTCAGAGACTATCTATACATATTGTTTATTACAAGTCCATAAAGTGGCTGTCATGCTGTTGGTAAAGTAATGTGAAGAAATGGCAGGCTCATTCAATTAGTTTTCATTGATCTTGAGGGAATGACTTTATATTTTCCAGTGAATGCCCAGAAGTAACCACAGATGTTGCATCAGCTTCTTAGTTATTACATTCTCAGGGAGAATGTGTTTGTACATTCAGTCTAAGAGGCGATCCCTGATCACCATTTCCTGAAATACTGCCAAGTGATCTGGTTTCAATTGAAGTGTCTAGGATGGCTTTAAGTTCTTAGGCTCCTCCTCACTTTGCCTTCTAGATATGGTATAATTAATACTTTACTGAACATGACCACATACTGGACCCTGCAAATGACATTGGTCATGACCTTTCACTTTTACCCTGCCCTGGAGGTTATCTCTGAAGTTGCACCCTTGTGTTATCATCCATACCCTGAAGTAGAAGCTGTACCAGAAAGAAACAGGTACAGGTGCCTCTGATTCCTGTTTACCTCCACAGTGCAGATGAGATTTCCACCATTTGAAAACCATTTAAAGCAAACTGATGATGCCTTTTATTATTTTCCCAGGGCTACGTCCAAAGAGAACTCTGCGCCTGGTGCTCTGGACAGCTGAAGAACAAGGGGGAATTGGTGCCTCCCAGTATTATGAGCTACATAAGGTAAAACTAGTTAGGACATGCTGTGGATATCTTTATGCTGTAAATGTGTGTTGCTCTGATTGGTTAATAAATAAAATGCTGATTGGCCAGTAGCCAGGCAGGAAGTATAGGTGGGACAAGGAGAGAGGAGAATGCTGGGAACAGGAAAACTGAGTCAGGAGTCACCAGCCTGACACAGAGGAAGCAAGATGTGAAGGCAGAACTAGAAAAAGGTACCAAGCCACGTGGCTAAACATAAGAATTGTGGGTTAATTTACGTGTAAGAGCTAGTCAGTAATAAGCTTGAACTAATGGCCATACAGTTCATAAATAACATAAGCCTCTGTGTGTTTACTTGGGTCTGAGTGGCTGCAGGACTGGTGGGTGAGAGAGATTTGTCCTGACCGTGAGCCAGGCAGGACCAGGAAAATTTCAGCTACAAGGACATGCTGAACACTTACATTTGTAGTATCAGTGTAAACCTAAAGCATTGATTTGTACTTTGGGTTTTTAAATCCTCTGGAATTGTCTATTTAAAAGTTCTTAGTCTTTCGTGGCAGGCTAACTGACAAATACCCAGTCCAGTAACAGTGTCCTGGTAAGATAAGAATGCTATGTAGGTTCTTCTATTTCCTCATCATACTCATGGCCCTAGAAAACTTCCCATTTGTATGCTGCCATTTTCTTAGAGTCTTGCTACTTCTGCTGTGCTCATAACATGGCAGGAAGTAATGGGTAAGAGTTCCCTTCCCACCGAGTCAAGCTCCCTGCATTTGTGCCCCAAATCCTCCTGGAAGTCCTAGTTTTGAAGCTCCAAAACCTGGAGTCTATCAACAGCATCACCTTCATGGTGGTAGAAATGTAGCAACCACTGATCTGGGAACACAGAGGACAGCCTGATTAGATACTAAATTTAGGCATAGATGGAGTCTGAAACAAGAAGGCTGTTGTGAAAGGTCTTGATTTTCTAATCTACAGAACTCCCTTTAACACTGGGGGTAGGAGTTACTACTGAGAATAGCTTTGAGAGTATTTTGAAATGTATAAGGACAGGAAACCTCTAAAACAAGTTGATATTAGGTCAAAGAGAAGCTATTTGAGTGTCCCCATGTATGCATATGCCTGCTGCTGCTGCTGCTGCTGCTGCTGCTGCTGCTGCTGCTGCTGCTGCTGTTGATAATGATGATGGTGACAATGACAACAATGATGCCTCCTGATGCTGCTGGCTTATTCTCCCTAAATATTGAGATTAGAAAACAACAAGGTTGAGTTATCTAGATCAGACAGGAATTTGCTTTATGAATTATATTTATGTCCTTTTGCATAATTTTATGCAGCATTCATCTCTAGCCACGCTGTTTCAGCTAATTAGAGCATGAGTTCAGGGTCCTAATTTAGTCAGAGTATAGTCATTTATTATGCAAAGGACTAATGACTTATACCTAGCCTTTACACTACAATTCTTTGGCCTCCAGAATTTCTTGGGATAAGAAAATTCCAGACAACTACCCTCTGGTTGGTGGGGAAACTACATTAACCTTTACATCTTGTGGTGGACTTCATTATCACAAAAGTTTATTCTGGATTAAGTATCATTAGTATTTTTGGAGCATATAGTATGTTCTATGTGGTATGTTAAGTTTCAAGTTTAATGCCATAACAGATTCACTCAAAGGCTGGGCATGGTAGTCTATGTTTATAAAATAGCACTCAAGAGGTTGAGTTAGGAAGATATATAGAATAAAGAAAGGTAAAAATCCCAGAGGCAAAACTTAATTAAAAAGAAACAGGATAATTTAAGTTAGAAAAGCTGGCTAGAAACAAGTCAAGCTAAGGCTGGACATTTATAATTAAGACTAAATCTTTGTGTGTGATTTATTTGAGAGCTGGATGGCAGGTCTCCAAAAGAGTAAAGATTAAAAAAAAAAAACAACTACACAAACCCTCCATATCACTGCTCTAATATATTAAAAGTTTATTCATTTGCTCCTTTACCTTATAACAGCAAGATCCACAGAGATTTTTGGTGACTCAGGCTGACAGACTCTTTGGTAAGGTGACATTTAATATTGGCATCCAGCTGGCAAGCAGGGGTTAGTGGATGTTTTTATCCAAAAGTGGTGGAGATGGCTCAAAGTATTTCCACTCACATCACATTGACAGAAACTCACCATATACTCCAGCTGCTTCAGAGGCAGTGTCCCTGATGGGCAGCCACTTCCTAGCTACACCTCTCCACTCAGATGGGAGTGCACAGCCACAGTGCAAAGCTGGCCCTGCTGAGTTTTCTTACTTTGTTCTGAATACTCCCATTTGCCCAAAAACAAGACACCCTGATTTTCTCCTCCATGGTGCTCACAGTCAGCTCTGTGAGCTATGTTTTAAGTAAAAATATCATTATGTGGAGGCTAGTTCACACATACACACGGAGAGAAGTATTTAGCCATATAGACTTCATGTTCTACTCTACCTTTTTCTTTCACAGAGAAATTTAGCATTACAAATGATGTAAATAGGGTTTCTGAATTACTTACTAAATGTATTTTACTTTCTGAAAAAGTCTCAGTTGTAAATAGACCACTGAGCGATATGAAGCAGAAGTTCCATTATGTTAACACGGTAAATATAAAGGAGTTAGAAATGGGAAGAAGGGCTATGGTGTATTGTCACTGGGAACAGTTCAAGGGGTCTGGATGAGGGAGCAGAAAAAGAGAGAAGGGATAGTCGTCCACTCTTATGCTGTGATGTTGATCATAAAAACAGTGTTTGAACTTCTTAAGTAATTATGTTAGAGTTTCTCATCACAGTTATGGTTATTAGTGATATAGACTGAGAACAGTGAGTCATGAACTACAGGCAAAATCTACTTTGCTACTTGATTATGTGATCTCAAGCTACCAGTTGTTTATGTCTTCAGCTGGTAATGCAGGGCCCTGAATGTGGTCCACAAAATTTAAGATATTAACTATTGGACTCTTAGCAGAAAATATTTTCTAATCTATAGTTTATGATAAAATTACAGTTTCACATTCTTTCCATATAATAATCTCTGTATTGTTTTATATGAAAAAAAATTTGTATATTTTCTTTGCAGCCAGATTATATTTAAGAGCAAGTATTTTGTAGGGAGATAGTGTATTATTATAAAGTGGAGTCCACAGGCTTCTTCTCATTCTTGTTGGGTAGAGTTCAACACCACAGCTGGCTAAGCCTACATGGGATCAGCTATGGATGAAAAAAAGTATGTAGAAAATATTGTGGGTTTTTTTTTCTACTCAGAATGTGTCTTTGTTTCCCACTCACAGAACCTGTTCAGCAATGAAATTCTAAAGAGCTATGGTAATGAACATGTTCCCTTGGTCTTTATGGGAATTAAAATAACATTTATGTTCATTATCATTTTCTTAGTAAATATGTCTTTATTTATAATGTGTTTGTATTAATTGTATACAGAAAAATTAAATTATACAGCAACATTTATTGTCAGACTGATTTTCTTTTCTTTTTTTTAAATATTTTATTTACTTTTGTTTAATATCCATTGGTGTTTACCTACATGTATGTCTGTGAGGGGGTGTTGGCCCCCCTGGAGCTGGAGTTACAGACAGTTGTAAGCTGCCATGTGGGTGCTGGGAATTGAACCTTGGTCCTCTGGAAGAGCAGTTAGTGCTCTTAACCACCGAGCCAACTCTCCAGGCCCCAGACTGATTTTCAAAATTAGATTCCAACTAATAGCCACCTTCACTTTATAATTATGCTTTTTTTGTCAAATATATTAGCCTAATTGTTGTAATACCTGTTGAAATTTATTAAACTACTGAAAATTCATTAACTTATTGTGGAATATGTAAGGTTATTTGTGCTTAGTATATGAATTTTTTAATTCACATGAGATTTTATTGCAATATCTAAAGTATTCTTTCCAAGGAAATAAACTTTCCATCAAAAAAGTATATACATGGATTTTTGGCAACAGTTTCTAGGTAAAATAATAGAAAACAGACACTACTGAGGTTTTGCTATGACTTGATTAAATTAGTCAATCAGAATCATCCATCTGTCCCTCACTGTAACAAAATATCAGTAATAATTGGCCTATAAAAAAGAATGGTTTATTCTGGTTCACAGTTTCAGAGATTTTGGTCCATGATCACTTGACTCTGTTATTTCTGATTCCACGACAAGGTAGCCAGAAGCACATCATTCAGATCAAGCTGCTTATACCTTATGGTTTTCAAGGACAGGGAGCTCCCTTTATGACAAGGCTCTTCTCCTCCCCAAACCCTCTAAGGTATGAATCCATAAATGTGTCAATCAATTCATAATGTCCTTATGATCCAGTCACTTTCCAAACAAACACCCCACCACTGAGTACTACTGAACTGAGGATCAACTCTTATATATATAGTCTCTAGGGAGACATTTAAAATTCAAGACGTAACAGAAATCATTCTTATGACCAGTGTAGCACCATCCTAACAATTCATAGCACAAAGTTTCATAAAGGAGTTATGCATGTGTGTTTTCTTATATTTGATAGGTTATACAATATTCTTTTCTAATTTCAAAGTTCTCTCTGATGTCTCTCTCATCACATTAGCACATAAATGTGAGAATTGTTTAGAGGCAGATTGTTTGTGGTCTAAGTTACTGATTCTTTTAGAAGTAACATTTTATTGAGGCTTAATTAGCAGCACTTGGTTAATACACAGATCTTAAATATTTGGAATCAATATATTTGGAAAATGTAAACTCTTGGTGTCTTGGTTGGGTTACTATTGCTAACCTGATAAAATACCATGATCAAAAACAAGTTGGGGAGGAATGATTTCATTTGGCTTATGCTTTCACATCACAGTTCATCATCAAAAGAAGTCAGGACAGGAACTCAACCAGAGCAGGAACCTGGAGGTAGGAGCTGATGCAGAAACCATGGAAGAGGTGCTGCTAATGGGCTTGCTCCACCTATTTTCTTATAGAACTAAGGACCACCAGCCCAGGGCTGGCACCACCCAGAATGG